GATAGAGAGCTAGAAATGTCGATGAGAAACATGGACCAGCTGCCTCTTGCACACCCCCTATCGGAGATGTGCCCGCAACCAAGGTACATGCCCTTGACCGGAATCGAACCTGGGACCTTTCAGTCCACAGACTGACGCTCTACCACTGAGCCAAACCGGCTTCGGCAGGAATCTATTTCTTAAAAAAAATTAAGTCAATTCTGGAAAGGATTATTTCTACCAAAGCAGTTTGAACATTGTAACAGGCCACTGGATTGACAAAATGAAGGCATTTGATGGATGTGATGATTAATTGTATTTGCCAGTTTGTCAACTTGACTGGGTCATGGGGTGACGGGACATTATTCTGAGTGTGCTGGTGAGGCTTTTTCTGGATGAGGTTAACTTTTGAGTCAGTAACACTGACTAAAGCAGTTCCCTCTGTAAATTCGGGCGGGCTCGTCCAAATCAATGGAAGGCCTGCTAGAACGAAAAGGCTGACAGAATTCCTCCTGACTGACTGTTAAGCTGGGATGTGGTCTCCAGCTTTCTGACTCAGACCGAAGCCCCAGCTGTTCTTTGGTTTGGAGCTTACTGACTTTTGGACTGGAATTCTACCACTGGCTCTCCTGGTTCTCAGACTTTTGGATTTGAACTGGAACTATACCACTGTCCCTCCCGAGTCTCCAGCTTGCCAAAGGCAGATCTTGCAACTCCTCAGCCTCCATAATTGTTGGAGCCAATTCTTTGTACTTGAAATAAACTTTAAGCAGTTGTAAAAGCAAAAATCAAGAGTTTTGTGAGACTATCAAGAAGGAACCTGAAATAAGAAAGTGAATAAATTCCTGATATATAAACTGGGGGAAAAACCAAGCAGTGATTCAGAGTAGCATAAACTGAAAAAGGAAGATAAGGATTTAGATAGCATCTGAAAGGTGCCCAGTCCTTTCCATTTGGTTCCGCACTGTGTTAATGGTAAACAACATGTTAATAGCTGTTTTGTCATTAAAGTGGTCCATAAGAAAATGCATATAGCTCAGGCCAGTGTGGCTCAGCAACTGAGTGTAGAACTATGAATCAGGAAGCCACAGTTCAATTCTCAGTCAGGGCAAATGCCTAGAATGCTAGCTCAGTCCCCAGTAGGGGGCATGAAGGAGGCAGCCGATCAATGATTCTCTCTCATCATTAATCTCTCTCTCTCTCTCTCTCTCTCTCTCTCTCTCTCTCTCTCTCTCTCTCTCTCTTCTCTCTCTTTCCCTTCCTCTCTGAAATCAATAAAAACATTAAAAAAGGGAAAAGAAAATGTATTTAGTCAATGCAGGCTAAACATGTTAATTTACAATATAAGGAGTTGTAAAGGGTAAGACAAATAACTTTCTGAATTTGGTATTAAGTTCTCATAACAATCCTCCACTACAGATTTTATTACCATTTCAGAGAGGAGGAATCTTGGGAAAGATGAACACTTTGCTGAAGTCACAGGGACCTAAGTGTCAAAGCTTATTCTTCCTCTCCTGGTGTGTTTTATGCCTTGTGCTTAATCATAGCAGAGCATGCAGGTTCCCTTGGCTGGCTTTGCCACAGTGTCTGCCTGGACCAGCCAGGTTTCAGAAATGAGAAAGCACTAAGCCTTCCCTACAAACCCTTTTGGAAATGAAGCATTTGACCTACACAGCCCATGGCCCCCACAGTGATGTTTTGTTATTCTTAAACAATTCTCTACGAATTGCACTATTTCTCCCCCTCTGCTGTAAAATAATGGTAATGTTTTCAAAAGTGTTCTAATATTAGCAGCTGTCCTACATCTTTTAAACTGTCTTAACTGTTCTGGAAAAGTAGGTTATTACCAATAGTGTTTCTTTTCTGATTTTTGTTCAATGTTTAACCAGCCGATTTTGAAATCTATATATCAGTGAACAATTGCGTTACACCTTAGCTGTTTGGCAAATACCAAAGTGGGGTTTCTGCAATGCTCTTAGCTGTGCACAATGCTCAGCATGCCTCACAGATATTGGGGATTGACCTTTTGGCTGCAGTTACTGTCATGCGGTACATCCCACATTTATTGTCATTTCTTCTCTTGCTTACTCCTAAAAGAACAGAATAAACAACAGAGCAATTAAATGACCACACATGTGTGCAGTAGACAATAGGTGAAATGGAAAAAATGAGGCTTGGACTTTTTTTTTTTGCTATGTAAACATTACTTTGTAAGAGATAGGAAGAAAAGACAAGTAGGAAGTTTTAATAGAGAATAATTTTACAGAGGGAAGGCCATTTGTTTTTTTCATTCTGCCTGTCTTAGTGAGTTTTAATGCACTACCCGAAGGGTCAAGGCTATGTATAAATTAAATTATGTGTAAAGGATAAGATTTTTTTTAAACTTAAGTTTCAGCCATGATGAAATCAGATATTTTTCTATAAAGAAAAACTAATTCTCTAGGGAAGGAAAATTGGATCATTGGTATTTTATCTTGCTCTTTTTATTTCAATATATGACAAGATAAGAAAGATTTATTCCATCTCACTGGCAAAGCAATCATGAATACAGAATCACATTGGGGAAATACTTTGTTTTTCAAGTAGTTTTCTGTTTTAACACACCTACCACTGGCTCACATTATCAAAGGAAAATCATGTAGCACTTAGATTTACAGCTGTAATTGGGGAAATTATTAATACATTCCAACGAGTGAAGATTTAAACGTTCCCTCCCTCCCCTCAAGAATAATCACTAAGTCCAATACTTGAGCTAAGATTTGGGTCAATCAGTTCTTAAAACCATCAAATGATCTCAAATGTGAGGGCAAAGAATTCAAATAGTATTAATGGGTGGTTTTAGTCAAGAACAGTATCTGAAAAGAAATTGTTGGGTAGAAGGTTAATGACCAATTTTCCAACAGGATGTTTAGTTTGTTTAGTTTTGGGTTCTTTTGGGGGTGTGTTTTTAGCCAGAGATTTTTTTTTTTTGGGGGGGGGGGTGATTTAGTGTTTGCGCAAGCCCTTATATTGAAGAACTTTCATTCTAGTTAATTTTTAAAATTTTTTTTATTGATTAAGGTATTACATATGTGTCCTTATCCCCCCATTATCCCCTCCACCCTCCTCACTACTTAGCTTTTCTTTGCCTATTTTGTTAATCTGCCCTTGGATCATTTAACTTCTTGTTAGTGATAGTCTCAGAGAATATAGGTTCAGAAGGGGAGATGGCAGTAAAACATAAACTTTCACTAAGCTGAAGAAATACAGGTTTAAGAAAAACCTTTGAACTTGATGACCAGCTACCCAGCCTTCCATTATTACAGATAATTGGAAAATGATTATAATGATATGAATTTAATTGCTCTCAAATCTCATCAATTTCAACTGGTTACATTTTCTGCTAAAATTTCATCATGTAATAAAAAACTTGAGTCCTTGCAAGGAATTCTGTTATACTCTCTGTGCCTGCCCACATATCCTTACCCCAGGTCCACCCTGAAGGTCACCATATTCCCATCTGAGGAGTCTTTCCAGTGTTCTCTGCAGTGAGGCCTGGAGGGTTAATCCCCCAGGAACCACCCTCAGCCCTACTTTTCCTTGCATCATGATGGTACACTTTTGAGTTGTCCTACCATCTTTTAGTGCTTCTCAGCAGGATTGCACCCCAGTTGCCCACAGAGTTAATTATCTCATTAACACACCTATATATTTTTGCTTTCTTTTCTTTTCTGCCTTGCTTCTCTACTCCTTCACCTTGGTTCCTGATTCACATCCCAAATAAGCTATTTGCATCCAAATCATTATTTCAAAATCTGTTTTTTCCCCTTCTCCAAATTTTATTATATTGGGGAATGGGTAGCATAAATTAAGACAGTAATTCAGAAATTACTTTCTCTATTTTTACAGAAGGTCCAGAAAGTAGATAAATGTATTTCTAGAGTTGGATGTAGGAACAGGATTAATTATAAATGAGTATGAGAGATCTTGTTGAGAAGGTAAAAATATTCTAAAACTAATTTATGGTGTAGGTTGATCCACTCAGTAAAGATACTAAAAATCATTGAATTGTACACTTGAAATGGGTGAATTTTATGTTAGGTGAAATATACCTCAATAAGGGTTGTTAAAAAAAATTACCTTATTTTACAAGGATAGATGATAAGATTCACAGAGTTAAATTGTTCAGAGTTACACAGCAGATATGTGTCAGAGAAAGGAACAGAGTTTCAGGACATTTGATTGCTATGACTCATTATTTCTGATTCATCTGGGGACTAATGATCTTGCTTTAATCCATTAAAAACTAAAGTACACGAAAGAAGTGAAAAAGCCCCAATTAAACCAAATATCAATATATTTAATATGCTAATTATAATAATTACCACTTATTGTGTGTTTACTTTATGCTAAACTAGAGGCCTGGTGCATGAAATTTGTGCATGGGTAGGGTCCCTAGGCCTGACCAGCAATCAGGGCCAATCTGTGGGGCAACCAGTGGGGTGATTGGGGGCCTCCCTAGCAGCCACCTTGGAGGGCCTTCTGCTGCCTGTTGCCACCTGCTCACTAGCCCCACCCCCGGCCGCTACCAGTTGTTTACCTCTGTGGGGCAAAGGGTGGGGCGATCAGGAGGGTCCCTGCTGGCACCTGCCTTGGCTGGCCTGGGGCCTGTGGGCTGTGGGCAGCTCCTGCATTGAGTATCTGCCCCCTGGTGGTCATTCGCATCATAAGGAGCGGTAATTCCTCCATTCAGTTGATTTGCACAGTAGGCTTTATATATAATGGAATGATTTACCTAGATCAACTCCATTTCACAGTGATCATCTCCATTTCACAAGCATAATTATTATCCCCTTCTACTCATGGGGAATCGGAGCTTGAGAGTGGGAAAGTGATTTATCCAAGGTCACATAACTCATATGAGTCTTAGTGGGAGTTTATCCATGGTGGTCTGACAGCAGAGTCCCTACTTGTAATGACAATTTTACAACATTTCTCCTCTTACCATTCCAGCATGACTAAAAGAAGTGAAAGCTCCATACCTCACTGTTGAGTTTCTTTATCTGCTGCTTGGTCTCCTCTGCCTTGATGACGAGAACAGCAGCTCCAATCTCTGGGTCTGAAAAGTGACACACACACACACACACACACACACACACACAATGAGTCCTTCAGGAATAAATATCACATTTGAGAGTTGGGTCAATAGTATTAGGGAAAGAAGCCTGAGTTACTGCCTTTAGAGATTTCTGATGTCTGTGCACTGTAGTTTCTGTCTTCCTGGGATTGGGCAAGTGTCTAGTACTCCTCTGCATGGTACACGATACACTCTTTGGAACCAGGCACACATCAGGGTGGTGACTGTGACTGTAGTGACTGAGTGTGAACATGGCAATCTTCCCTTTTGTCTGAATATAATCACCACTATGTTGCAAGAGGTCACATTTTCTCTTCTTTAACAGTTCTATAAATACATATATTACAGCCACTGCCCAAGCCATAGAAAAGGGATGTTCTTTTTTTCCTTTTTATTCCCCCTCTTCCCCCTAAATATTGATTTCTGTGCCCATGTGAGTATTTTCCTCCCACCTCTATTTCTAATCTCCACTGCAGGTTTTCCGTCTCCTCCCATATTGTGCTAAAAGATAATTTCTCCAATTTCCTGGTTCTCTCATCTCTATTTTCTCTACCTTAATCTTCCAAATGCATTTATTTCTGTCAGGGACAAAAGTACAGACGAATCATTGCTGGCTGCAGTAGAAAGGACATATGTATATTATGCTATGATCATTCTAATATTCTAATTTTGGTCAATTGCAGGTAGAAAACTTGTTTGTGGGAGAACATTTCATTCAAAACAACCAGAAGTGGCAGAGTAGTAAGGACTCACTTTGCAGAGATAATTTGCAAAGCTATGCAAATGAATGAATGATGAGAGATCATATACCACAGGCTAGGCCTCCTTTAGAGATGATAGCAATGAATAAATAAAAATTGACCTTCATGAAGCTTAGAATCTAGCAGGGAAAAGAGACATTTGAAAAGTAATTATGCAATAGTTTTGAATTTCATACTAAGGGAAATAGGGAGTAATCGGAATTAATTTATATTTTAAAAATGTTTATATAAAGAAAAGTATGAGATAAGAGAAGAGACTTTGGTAGCAATGCAGGCAAGAGATAAATGTGGCAAGGAAAAGGGTGGAGGCAGTAAGGATAGAAAGTCCTACAACTGAGAGAGATGTAGGATATAGAATCAAGAAAATGTGTTGCTTGAATGAATGAGTGTAGGGATCGATGATGGGAAAAAAAGAGAAGAGGAAGCTAAGAAGTTAGTGGGAATGGGTGGATGGACACAGTAAGGTTCTGTGCAGAATCTCCAGACTCAGGTGAGCCAACAAAGAAAACTTCCAAATGAGCCCCACAAACAGCTTTCATGGCAAATGCACCAATTTGACTATAACTATGATTTCTGTGCCCCTTGCCCTAAGCAGAGTAATATCAGCACATGTAAGTCGAAATAATATATTAATCAGGATTGTTGACTGACATCTGCATTACCCCTCCCCTCCCAATCAGTGAGTCTTACAAGGACCCTCCCATTTCCCTAGAAGATGATGAGTGCTGGGAAAAAGAACTGTTGAATGAGATGGAATATTGGTATTCTACCAACCAAGACACACCCTCAGAACTGTACATTCACAAGTTCTTAGGCTTGGCTTTGTTCATGGAGGGATTTACTAATTAGCAGGAGGGGATATCAGTTGGGCATGAAGGAGAGGAGAGGGTTGGCAGGGGATTGCTGGCCTTGCATCTGGTAGTTTGCTGGTAATTGTTTTAGATAGTTTATACCTATTTAATACTTCTTTATTATTCTTAACTGTAGGGGTGTCTTCTTTATAATTTATTTATCCTTTCTGGCCTCTTTTATGTTGTTAGATTCATTTTTATGGCCAATGAACTCAAGAATGAAAGGGAGAGAGAGGAGTCTGAGCTATGTTTGGGGCTACCCCTTACATTAATTCACCATCACTAGAGGTTAGCACTTCAAATAGTTTTTCATCATTTCTAAAATGTTTACATACTTCTGAAGTTGTTTATCTTCTGACAAAATGCAAGTATATAACCTCTCACCAAATAAATTGGTTAAATGTAACCAATGTTCCTACAGTGTGCAACCAACACAGCATTTCCTCTGGTAGTGTTTTTGTGGATTAGTCTACATTTATAATAGGAAGACATGGTCATCCTCTGATGGTGTGTTAGGAAACTCAGAAATTTGAGTCTTCTAACACATCAGTTACCTTGGCTGGTGAATGTCAGGATATCTAACCTGGACAGAGGAGCAATTACAAATGGTGTTTTAATAACTTGGAGATAACACAGACTCAAGTCAGATTATTCCATGGCATTGGTCAGTCCTATCACATGGAAAATATTCTTTTTAACTTCTAATGCCAAACATTAGAAATTAAAAAGAAACATTTCCCCTTGAGAGAAGGCTAAATATCTTTACCTCCAAGAGGAGGAGAAATTCTGGGTTCTGGTCTGATTCGTTCAGAGCCAAAGTCAAAAGTCTGGCTTTCTTCACTACTGTTTCCATCTTCAATTCCATCAACAATCCTGTTTAAGATAAAGGAAATTGGTTAATTGTGAATTTATATTCATGGGTTTCAAAGTTTCTAAAAGACTTAAAAATATTGTGTTAAATTTCTAAATTCTAGATATTCTAGAGCTATGCTATTTAATATGGTAGCCATTAGCTTTATAAAATTATTGAGCACCTGAAATGTGGCTAGTGAAAATTGAGATATGCTGTATGTATAAAATACACATGGAATTTTGAAGATTTTAGTAAAAAAAAGTAAGTTATTTTATTGGTAATTTTTTATATTGTTTACATTTGAAATGACCATATATTTGGGGCATATTGTTTTAAATAAAATATATTATTAAAGTTAATTTCATTTTTTTAATTTTAAAAATATGTCTACTAGAAAATGTAAAATTATTTGGTTCACACTTTTAGTTCAGATTGTATTGTATTGAATCCTTTTGAGAATATGATTAAAACTATTCTAAAAAAACAAACAAACCTACCAATGTTCTTATTTTTTCTCATATCTGCACATACCTCCACATAGAGCAAAAATTACACAAAAAACTCAGGAAAGCGGAAACATCCGGGCTTGGATCTTGTGCACTAGAAAGACCCAGAAGGCTGAATAATTTACTAGCCAGGTTCTGGTCTGAATAAAAGGCAGCCATTTTCACCTGGGAAAAAATTAGATGATGTGGATTCTTACCTTGGACTGAGGTCTGGGGGTGCAGCACTATTCAAGGTTGAAAGCTGCAATTTCAAGTTCTTCTCTTTCTTTTTACTGTGATTAGGCAGGTCAGCTTCCTGTTTGCTTTTTGGGGAACTTGAACTGGAGACTCTGATAGGCGAGTGAAATGGCACTGTTCCTGAGGCCAGTTGCTTCAAGCTTAAACCTAGATAGCTTTTATTGCTTCCCACCTTCTTGTTTCGTGTTGAGGAGGATCCCCTCGTGTAGATAGGAGAGAGGGAGGCGGTCTCCTCTTCTTCCTCCTCCTCATCTTCCTCATCTTCCACAATGGATGGCAGTCTCCTGTTGATGCTGCCATTTCCCTTGGGCTCTGACTAAATCAGTGGATAATATGGATTAGTATGAATTGCAAAGACCTCTTGAGAGGTATATCATTTACATTGGAGGTTCTGTCAGAACTGAGTCCAATCTCTTAGAGACTTACTTCTTACCAAAATGAAAGACTTGCAAGATTTTGCTACATGTTATCCAGGTGTTAAAAGTTCCCCCATTGATAAATGGTTCTAGGAAAAAAAGTGTCTCCACTTATGACTTTTCCTAGCCTAACCTCTCTGCTTTTTTGGAATTAGCCCACCAACCCTTCTCTTGGTCTTTTCAAACTCTCAAAGTTTGCACCTAGATTTTAATCAACCTGCCACTTATGATAGTATATAATGGCATGCTATTAGGAATAAAGACGTTTTTAATTTTACTGGAAGTTCTTGGCCTTTGTTATTTTAAACATACAAGGTCTTTATGTGGAACATTATGTGGAGAACATTAGAACATTATGTGGAGATCAGCTAACAAAATTAAAATATCCTTGAGAATGAAAATCTTTCCTATTTGGATCACATAGATGGAAGAAGATCAGCAGTGTCCTCAGCTGCTGTTTCCTGCTTTTCTTTTTCTGAGTTGGTTGGTAGGAAATGGAGAAAAGCATTCCATCTGCTCCCCTGAAGAGCCTTGGGAAAGGAAGGAGAAAGTCTTGCCATGCCTCATCCTAGTACCACTGGGCTCTTGACTGGGGTCATTAAACCTTATAGGTTAAGAAGAAGTAAGGGAGAGAAGGGGAAAGGACAATTGAGGTGATGATGGAAGGTCAGGGTAGAGAGGGCAAAGCCTAAACTAGTAGCCGTGGGTAGAGTTAACTGTAAATATTTATAGCTCTGCCCCAGACATGGCTTCCTTGCTCCAAAAGCTCAATTCATTTTTTCTGTGCCTTGTTTTCTTTTGAAGATACAATCACTTACTAGTATACCTACCCATCAATAATTTTCAATAAAAATGAGAGAAACTGAAAAGACCTACTAGTACTATTTAAATCTCAACAAGTTCTCATTATTACTTCATTTTAATAAATAGTTTTTAAAAAATATTTTATTGATTTTTTATAGAGATGAAGGGAGAGGGATAGAAAGTTAGAAACATCAATCAGCTGCTTCCTGCACAACCCCTACTGGGGATGTGCCCACAATCAAGGTACATGTCCTTGACCGGAATCGAACCGGGGACCCTTGAGTCCGCAGGCCAACGCTCTATCCATTGAGCCAAACCGGTTTTGGCTAAAAAGTTGGTTTATTGATGTATATAGATTTTGCTATCTTATAACAATAGATATAATAAAAGAATGAATTTGAATCTTAAAAGCAATAGCCTATTTAGTTTAAGTTATAAGTGAAATAAATGGTTAATTTACTCATATATATATTTGTATACTCATATATATACTCATTTATATACTCATATATACAAATATATATACATACACATATATATATGTATGTATATATATTTGTATTTTATTCTTAGTGGCTCAAAATTTCTTGAGGATATGATATTAGACTCATCTTTCCAACTACATATGGTTATTTTAATTAGATGGTGAAGCCATAAGTTATTTATTGGAATAGTCATGGTATTGCTTTTATTTGTTTGTTTTTTTGTTCTTCACAGCATTAAAAAATGCTGCACTTTTAACAAAAGATCCACATGAATTGCAGGTGAACATTTGTATACTAGTATTGTAGAATAGAAAAACTAGTCACCCAGCTAAAGACACAACAGGGCAAACTTATCAAAGAAATGAAAAACAATGAGTGCATTCTGTAATTGGACTTCTGTTTACATTTGCACTGGCAATTTATTCCTTTGTTTCTAGGAGGCTCTAGTGGCTATACTAGAATTGTCTGACTAATAACCTATAGTGTTTGTTCTTCTACAAGTTTAAATTTCATCCATTTTGTCACAGAGGCTTGATGCCTTGAAAAAGTTGCTTAGATACTGACTCTTGTGAACAAGGCATCTGACATTACTTATATCAAGAGGTAATTCTCCCAAGTACCATCATTGCAGACAGGGCACATATTTATTAGATTTTTAGATACCCAGAGCTACATGCAGTCTCTCTGCAGGAATACTAGTTACTTTCTTCAGAATCTATCTACCGTAGAAACTCCCACTTACCTTGTGTAGCTGGATTCACCTATGCATACACTGCCATAAAGTTCAACCATAGAACCCTGGCTGGTGTGGCTTGGTTGGGGCATTATCCTATACACCAAAAGTTGCAGGCTCAATTCCTGGTCAGGGTAGACCTCTTCCTTCTCTTCTGACCCTCCCCTTCATCTTTCCCTGACAAATGCTCTTATGAGGGCAGTAAGGTTTTTATCTCCCTAGTGAAAGGAACCTCTAATTTAGCTCATGACATTTTGCTTGGATAGTCATTTCACACTCAAAAATGACTAAATTTCATTGAACCTATCTTGACTAAAGGAAAAGCAGAATAAAGTCCAGTTGTTGAATTCCAGCCCTAGAAGTGACTTATTACCTATAACCTTGGTCAAGTAATAGAATTGTTTAAAGCATGTGAATTGGGAATGGTATGAGAGAAAAATTAGATATTGGACAATGAAAGTTAAACACTTAGCAATATGCATTGCACGTGTTTAGTAAATGCTTGCCCTTGTGATGATGATAATCATGAAGAAAATAAAAACAGTATTTATATCAGGACAGGTGCTCCAGAGAGTACTCTTATCCCTTTGTTACATAATTTTCTATTGACCAGAGGTCACTGTTTCCAGTTGCTCTTGCTGTATGGTTTGGCAATGAGGCTAAGTTCTGGGATGGTAGCATGTAAATGAACAGGTTATAAAGAACTTGTAGGAAGATGTCTAGAAAGAGGGGACCTTCTATCCTGCTCTTTCACATTCCTTTACTTTCTAGACTGAAAAATATTGATGAAATGAATGGCTCACCAGTGGTCATCTTAGAAAATAAGGACATCTTAAAGAATGAAGTCATACATTGTGGATGATGAAACAAAGAAAAAATGTGATGTGTTCTGTGATTGGATGTATTTGTGTGCCTCTGTGTGTCTGTGTGTGTAGTATGCAAGTGTGTGAAATTTGGATTCTGTTTCAAGGAGAGGACAGAACAAGAAAAAAAAGCTGTTTACAGGGTTATTGTCAAAGGATTATTATTCAAGTTTTTTTCAATTACAGTTTACATTCAATATGATTTTGTATTAATTTCAGGTGTACAGTATAGTGGCTAGACAATCATATACTCTATGAAGCAATCCCCCTAATATTTCCAGAACCCACCTGGCACCATGCATAGTTATTACAGTATTATTAACTATATTCCCTATGCTGTACTCTACATCCCCATGACTGTTTTGTAACTGCCAATGTGTACTTCTCTGTTTCTTTACCTTTTTCACTCTCCCCTTGGTTAGCCATCATCAGTTTGTTCTTTATATTTATGAGTCTGTTTCTATTAGATAATAGATCTGGCAAATCACTATTTCTTGGGAAAGTTTTCTTTGAAATTAGAGGATTCTTAAACGTTAGGAATGTCTTAAGAGACCATGTGAGTCTACTTCCAAAATACCTCTGAACCATAATTTTTACATTATGGGTAATCACACTGTGTCCTCTATGGGATGTTCATAAGAAAACATTTGGCTACTAATTTCAAACACAATGAAAGTGTCTCTAAGATCATTAACTCAGGACTTTGCTACTTTTGTCAGGTTTTGGTAACAACCTATTCTTCAACAATAACAAACAAAACCCCTTAAATAGATGAGTTTCAGTGCTTCTCTATTTGCAAACTGAAGAAAGTCTGTCACCACATCTCATGTTGAGAAGTGTATTATATTAGGGAATAGATTTAGTGGGAATCCTACAGATCTTATATACATATTTTTCTCTTAGAGAAAAGCCATACCTGTGAGACTGTAGATTTGTTTGATAATCTTGATATCACCTGAAACAACAAACAAAGTAGAAGTTGTAACAATCATTTAAACTTGCATCTTCATCAAGATTTTCAACGTTTTTCATCTAATGGCACACATAAACTAATTACTAAAATTCTTCAGCACACCAAGAAATATATATTTTTTGCTGATCTGACAAAAAATAGGTATAATTTTTATTCATTCACACTATTGGCTCTCATTGTGTTGGCTGTTGTCTTTTTTTCTTTTTTTAATTGGACAATCTAAGGGAAAAGGAGGTCAGTGCTGCTGACTAAATAGTCAGGTATTGCATGCTTTAAAAATTATTGTGGCACATTGGGTGAAAATTGCTGATTTAAACCTTAGCAGGTGGTTTAGGGACTGGGTGAAATGTAGGAGAGGAAAGAGATGGGGGTTCAGAGAGTGTTGGAGTTGATTGATCCACCTGTGTAGGCCAGAGAACAGAAAATGCATCTCGAAAGATGCTGAAAACAACTCCTACAATCCACACTCAAGGAGCTCTATTGGCCAGTGTGTGTTACTAAAAAAAAAAAAAAAAAAAAAAAAAGGAGATGGGGAGCAGAAAATGGAATGTCTGGTATAGGACACCGCACCTAGGGAACAGTGATCAGAATCGTGGCTTATTGCCTACATTTTCCATCTTGATACTTCATACTCTCCTTTGTTTTCCATCTCTCTTATTCCACTTTGCTACCCTTTTGCTAAATTCTTTCATCTTCCATGATTTTTTTCCTCTGGCTCTGTGAAAACAGAAATCCATGGAAACTTATTCAGTCTCATTTCTTTTTGTTTAACCATCTCTCCTTCTTACTTGAATACAGGTGGGAGTCATGTATTCTTTCTGTCCCACTTGTTTTACTCATTATGATGTTCCTTGTAAACTAGGATCAGGTTTACTGGGAATCCAAATCCCTTATTTAATTGAATTTAAGATCTCATTGAACCCACTGCATTCCTATATACTAACAATGAGATTTCAGAAAAAGAAATGTAACAAAAAGTATAAAGTACATAGGAATAAACTTAAAAAGGATGTGAAAGACCTATATACTGAAAACTACAAAGCACTATTAAAAGGGATTGAAACAGACACAATGAAATGGAAGATCATGGAGCATAGAAATGTACAGTCAAAACCTGTATAATCTTATTAACCGATGTCACCCCAATTAATTTATTAAAATGAAAGAAAAAGATCACATTGATTGTAAAAGATAAAAAAAATGCTGCCAGTCACAGTGATATGCCATCAGTTGTAAGACAGATCTTGATTTCAAAGATACTAAAATGTGAAAACAAATGTGTAATGTAGAATCACGTAAGCTTGAATCTCAGGACACATATAAAATCAAGCTATGTGATACTATCTGTGGAGAAGCACATTAAAGAACATGCACTATCCATGATGTATAAAAAAGCTCTGGAAATTATGACATAATCTGAAAACATGCTTCATGTCTCATCCACATAGTTTCGTGCTTAAAAAGACTTTTTCATTTTAAAGTGTATTACATATTATAAATTAACAATTTTATTCACATAAAAAAACCAAAAATTATTGCAGTCAAAAATGACCCACCTAGTAAGTGAGACTTATTTGGTATTTCTATCACTGTTGCTTTTATTTTCCTAGACAATTAGGAAAATAGATCTGTTGCTGTTTATACAAATGTTGGAACCATTATTGTTGTGAAAATATAGTATGTTTCATCAATGTTGAATGTTATCAAAACAGTCAACCCATTTTATATCTGTTTAGGTGCCCAGATAGTCATTGATCAGAAATATTATAGACATAAGGTTTGTAATAATGCACCAAATGGTGACAGTTACAACAGCTGAATAATTAAAGAAGTGAAAATAAAACAAAGTTCTGGTGCTGTTGCTACTGTGGTAGACACGAAAGGCTTTGGGTTACAGCTCAGATGGGCAAAAGAGTATCCTAATGGATGCAGGACCCTGAACAGCTGCAGGTCAGAGATACCCCCTGAGGTGTAAGGCACTGGCCTTAGCACCCTCTGATTTGGTGTGATTCCAAGCTCCTTGGTTTGCTTTCTGTTTGGTATGAGTTCTGTCATGTTGTTGAATCCCATTTTTTTTTTCCTGTATCAGTGCTTCTTAAAATTAAATCACATGGGCTCTCATTAAGTGCAGGCTCTGATTGGGGAGGTCTAGGATAGGGCCTGAAACTCTCCCCAGGTAAGACTGATGCTGCTGACCCTTGGGGCACACTTTGAGTAACAAGTTCTCTAACGGTTAGTGGTTGGGTCTGCTTTGTGGCAATCATTAAACCAATGTCCCTGTCATCATCATCCTACTATCTATCAATTCATTACATTTTATTTATTTATTTTTACCTTGAATACATAATTTATATTAACAGACCTTTTTAAATTGTGAAGTTAGATGTGAGTGGGAATCCTGATTGTTGCTGCAGTCACTATGTGCATAGGATCCATAAAGTTTTCATTATGGGATAAGCACCTTGACAAATGCTTCCTGGCCATTATGTCCATTAATTTTCAGTGCAATTATATGAGGTAAGTGTGCATTGTTTGGTGAACACTATTGTGGTAGGTTCTCTAAATAAATTATTTAGATATAGTATTAACCATTTGCATTTAAGAAGAATACCACAATATATTCACTCTGTTGACTTTACACTTCATGCTGATTCAGAGTCTGCCAAGTGCAGAGAATATGAGTTTAATTTTTAAAGCCAGAAGTGACTGTAAGGAATGTCTGCCACAATGCTTTGCACACCTGGCAGATAACAGAATGTTTTGAGACGCATTCCTAAAAAAGTCAGATTCCAGTGCACCAACTCCAGCAAGTCTCTTCCAATTGTTGGTGGGTGGGATCCAGGTCTCCAGGTGAGATTTATAACCTCTGAGTTAGTCCAACTCCCTAATTAGAGATATGGAAACTGTAGCCCAGGAAGATGAGATAACTTGCCTAATTCATGCATCATGTTAGTGGCAGAACCTGTACCAGAAGCCATGTGTCCTGACTCTCAGTGAATCTTAGACAGAATCATAGTTTTTCTCAGGTACCTTCTCCAGCTGTTAATGCTGTTACTTAGGCTGGAAGATTAAATGATGGATGTATTGTGGATTTTACTTATGCACAGGGTTTGATGATTGCCACAAAGCAGAATCAACCACTAAGTTACTCAACCACCTCTTTAACCTTCTCTGAGTCCCAGATCTTTCAGGAAATCTGATGAATTCTAGGTATTCTCTCCCCAGGCAGGGGGTGAGTGGGCGGTTCTGGATATAACCTTTGGATGGAATATGTTTATCAATTGTAGTTTCTTGTTCCAGCAACTAGAATAAGACTCAAAGTTTTTGAAAGTTTTTAGGAAGGAAGTCTTACCCAATTTTGAGTCCCACCCACACAAAGGGAAGAAGTCTATTTCCATTTTTTGCTTGCCTCATAGGTCAGAATTATAGCCCCTGTGTGAGTCTGCAAATGTCCTTTCAACTGTGGAATCTCATAAGATACTAAACGGCTCTAGTAGGCATGTTATCTATAGCTGATTGCTCAGTTGGGAAACGAGATGGGAATTACAAGGCTCTTCTTTCTGGCTGATTCATGGTTTCCTCTGCTTTGTTAATAATGCCACATTGAATCAGTCACAAAATAGATCGAAGGAATATATGTCCTCAATGAGAAAAAGGGGATCAGCACGTATTTTATCTTGTTCACTGGACAGCAACATAAGCAGTATTGGTGGCTGTTTGGGATAAAGATAATATGAATGAAGGATATTCACACATAACCCCATAACTCACATAGTTAAAATGTCCACTCTTATAAAAATCATATGTAATTGGCATCTAATACAAGCAAGTAGAAAATGAATAGATCTCATTTTTGTTTCTGATCTACTTCTTTATCTTGTAGACTCACTTGAAGGTGCCAATATGTAATGAACAACACCAAAGACGGGTGGCATATGGGAGGAATAACTAGAAACCTTTGGGAAAAGTTTAGGCTTTGAATAGGGGACATTCATTTTCCACTGAACAAGTCTGAGGGCTCACCACCATCTAATCTAAAGAGGAGATTTTTGAAGCTTGTCAGAAACCCTACGTGGGTAATATAGTTTCTGTTGTCTGCTCTGTTGGTTATATAACTTAGAAACCGAAATGAGACTTCAATGAAAAAAAAACTGCTAAATTTGACATTGCCCAATTTCACACTGAGCCTTGAGGTCACGGCAAACTATTAAGACTTAGAGGAGAATTTTCTTCCCCCCAGGTAAATACTATCACTCTGATGTAGAAAGCACCAGCCAAGTAGTTGAGTCCTGAATTTAACATTTACTCACTTTTAGAGCTGCAGAATCAGCTACTGAGCTATGGTATAGGAATCACCAAAAAACACTCTTCTTCCATGTGTATTATAATAAAAGACCTGTGTGCTGGGGGAGGGGACCCACTTAGGAGGTTGTATAGCATAGTGGTTAGGAGTCGGGATTTTCCTGGTCCTATCACTTGTTAACTTTGTAAACTTGGGAGGCCTATCATTCAGGATAGGATAGATAATACCAAGGTAACAAGTAATGCGCCAAATTTCCTTGGCTTAAAACAAATTTTATTTCTCACTCATGTTTGATGTATGTCAAGCAGTTCTCCTCTAAGTAGTGATTCAGGGACACAGGCTTCTATTTTGTGGTCCTGTCATTATGGCCTCAGGTTTGTCCTGGCATCCTCCTGTTGACAGCATGAGAGGGAGAGGATGGGGAAGGTAAATTGGGCATGTGACTGACTACCTTAGCTGTTCTACTAGCTGGAACCAGTGTCCTGGTTACCATCAATCAAAATTCTGTGAGTTTCCTTTCTTTCTCTTAATAATGATGATAAGATCTAGAGTTATTTTGAGCATTAAATTAGATATCAGTGTGCAAATTGAACAAATCTTGGAAACTCAGTTGGCCACATTTGGCATTGTGGCACATTAAGAGTAATGCAATATAGCAATCAAAAGCATTACAAATATT